AGCCGCAGACGCCTGTCAGCTGCCTCCCGGCGCCGCCCGCGCCGCTCCCATTGTCACCGCCTCGTACGCCGGAAGTGGAACTGCGCGCGCCGGGGAGGGCGAGCGGAGCAGGCGGTTAGCGAGCTACCCCGGGAGAAGCTCGAGGTTCGGCTGTGTGAGGAAGCTTGATCCTCGCGGGCCACCATCCCGGAAGTGCACTTCGAGGAAGAAAGTGCTGTAGTGGGTGTTCTCGGGACTCGAGGTGCAGACAGACTCTTAGAACTCTGGGAGTTATGTGTTGACTAGGAAGGAGTCAGAGGTTTTGGTCCCCACGCCTGAAGGTTCTACCTTCTCTGATGAGCCCGTCTGTGGCGCATGGTTGCAACATGGGGCTTCTTGTAAGAGTTCCTCTGAAAAAGTCAGACTGCGTTGTTGCTCGGTGGCGACTGAGTTCAGAGATGTGTTGATGCTTCAGCCGCTCGCCATGGCCCTGCGGGCGGTGTGGCTCATACGCCACGAGCCGGGAACTCCGCTGTGTGGCTCCGTGAGATTCTCCAGGTAAATGCAAGTCTCAATCCTCAGACTCCTGTGATGGATCGAAGAATGGATGATGAGCATAGTTTGGGGATGCACTGTATTCGGGGTCGAAGTTTACTAACCTGTATTTTGCCTACTGAGTGGAAATATTAACTCTGCCTTACAGTGTTGGCAGAATCAAGTGAGCTGTCACCTGGTACATATTAATTGCTACGTGTGTTTTCTGGTATTAGTATTCTGTCTTAAAATTAACTGCAGCTACTTAAGATTGATGTGGAGACGACGAAAAGATGTTAAGCACTAAATATGTTTCAATGATAAAGTAATTCAAGAGCGTTTAACACATTCTTCTGAAAAACCCTTGCTGAGCAACTGTCACTTTTACTTTCATCTTACCGATGTGTCATCGCTAGAAATCAGTGGACAGTTCGTAGTTGATGAAGGAAACAACTGTGAAAAATTAAATTACATTTACTTTTTTCTTATCTGGTCTGACTTTTACAGTTTACCATATTTAAAACATGCCTGAGGCGAATCCTACACTTCATTTTTATTTATATATTTGTTTATTGGGTTTGTTTTTTTTGTTTGTTTGTTTTTTTGAGACAGGGTCTCACTATGTAGCCCAGGCTGGTCTTGAATTCACAGCAATCCTCCTGCCTCCGCCTCCCAGTGCTGGGATTACAGACACCTCATTTTTAAACTCAGTTGACAATCCAGTAATTTTTTTTTTCCCAGTACTGGGGATTGAACTCGGGTCTTTGCGCTTGCAAGGCAGGCCACCAAACTGCTGAGCTAAATCCCCGGCCCAGTAATCTGTTTCTTTTCAGTGGCTATTGACAGGATTTTTGTTGTTGTTCTTGTTGTTTTTGGCCAATAATTCATTCTTCCCTGAGAAGAGATTTATCATAGTGGAAGTGAGATTGAAGCAGATAAAAACGAGTATAGGTTTTAAGTGTGAAGTATTTTTCTGCTTCATACTGTGGGCCTAACATCTTCCAAATAGTATATATTTTATTCATTTGTTTATGGACCTATTAATAATGTTTATTACACTCCCATAAAAACATTGGTCTGTCTGTTGTATTACTCTGTCCTTTTTGTGCCAGTACCATACTGTTTTATGTATGTGGCTCTATAATTTATTTTAATATCTCAAGAGTAGTGAAGTTTTTACTGCTTAAATAAATTCCTTGAGGAAATCATGCTAGTTTCAGAATGTTTTCCCAGTATGCTCAGAAAAAAAAAATTTAGAAGAAAAATTAAGGTACATTTAGAGGAATTCTCAACATTTCTATGGAGGCAGCATGTTGAATTTAAATAATTCATCTGTCATTTCAATAGTGTATTAATGAATGGATTAGTAAAGTTTTATTATTTTGTTTTTCATACCCCTTGGGACTGGTGTTAGTGCTAAACACATGTACACTGTCTTATATCAATTAATGTAGCAAAAGATAATGGCCATCATTTAAGATTTGATAAGGCAAATGGTCTTTCTTCTATCTAACTGCTTATTTCCCACAACAGAACTTGGTTTAGAATCTGGTTTAAAGATTTGCTGTCTTGCTACTGTAGTAATACTATTAGCTTAAGCCTGGCTTAGGTTGGTATAGTATCCCTAGTTGGAAGGATATTTAAAATTTAAATCTTCTTTTAGAAAAATTCTAGAATAAATTTGAAGTGGCAGATTGAATCATTCAACAGAATATTGAGCACCATTTGGGATATGATATAAGGTCCCATAGTAACTTATCTTTACATTCAATCATAAAATTTTTAGAACTTTATTATCTAGATAACTATAGAACAACAGAAGTCACTAGCGATGAGTTACCTTATTCCCTTTTCTCAACCAAGAAATACATCAGAATTTGAATGAGTGAAGTTTACTTATATGTATATGACTTTACATTCTTACATTTTTTAAATTATTAGAAAATAATCAGTATTTTATTAGTGAAAAATATTGTTTTAGCCAGGTGTGTTTTTGACCCTTGACTTTAAAAAAAAAAAAAACTTTTTTAGGTTTTGGTTTTTTGTGGGGTGGGGAAGGTTACATTCTATTTTATTTCATTTTATTTTATTTTTTGGTGCTGGGGGTTGAACTCAAGGCCTTGAGCATGCCAAAATTGCACCACACCCTGAGCCTTCTCATTTGTTTTATGAATAAAAATTGCCAGCCAGATGGCTTCATTCTAGACATTGAAGTAGAAGGAAAAGGAAAAGTACATTTTTTGAAACTAAGAAACTATGATTAACAGATTCCTATAAATGAGCAAAAGTGTCTTCTCTTCTACTTCCCAGGAAAAGAAAAAAGACAAATTAGTACCTTACATTCAACCTATTGACCTAGAGCAGGGAGGGCAAACCTTTTATAGCTTTCAGTAATAACATATAGTCAGCTGTGGCATGGGTACCATAAGTTCACCACCTATGACCTAAAGCATGCAAACAGTAAAGAATTATTCAGATTTTCTCCCCTTTTTTTCATTTCATAGTATCTTCTAGGACCTTAGAGATAAAATATTATTGAAATGATCTTCCATATTTTGGTAAGAGTCAGCAAGAAGAATCAGGATACCTGTTATTCACTATAGACTGAATAGAAACATTCCTTTAAAAGTGTATCACCTCAACTATTGTGGAGGGTTAAATTGAACCATTTCTTTGGTCCTACTCTTAAGATGGAATCAAAAGAAAAAAATTTTATAGATAGATTAGTGTAGGTGTAGACTCTTTTTCTACCAAGAGGGAATCAGAATGGTTGAGAAATAGGAATTTTAAATTAGCATCATGTAGTCTGCCTATTTAAAAATAAATAAATAAATTTAATTGAACATTTTCAATAATAGATGATATTTTATCATTTGGTAACATGACAAGGACGAAATACTTAATCTAGTAGGAATTTGTATTTCTTGGTTGTTGGCTTTTGTGGGTGTGTTTGCTTGTTGTTGTTGTTGTTGTTATTAACCTTTGCCTTGTGTTTTAATTTGTTTTGATTTTACTTGGAAGAATATTTCTTGGTTGTTGGCTTTTGTGGGTGTGTTTGCTTGTTGTTGTTGTTGTTATTAACCTTTGCCTTGTGTTTTAATTTGTTTTGATTTTACTTGGAAGATCATTTATGGTTTTTCCCTTAATGCAGACGGTACCCAACTGTTGAAAAGCGAGCTAAAATCTTCAATGGAGTGAGTTATGTACCTGTTCCTGAAGATGGTCCTTTTCTTAAAGCACTGCTCTTTGAACTTAAATTATTGGACGGTGATAAAGACTTTGTGGGAAGTCGTGACAGTTGCTCACACATCAATAAAACATCCATCTATGGACTTCCACTAGGAGGAGAAGAACTCTGGCCAGTTGTTGCATTTCTGAGGAATGGCCTGATATATGCAAGTGTTCCACTGGTTGAACAGACTCTGTCCCCTCGTCCACCACTAATTAGCATTAGTGGAATTTCACAAGGCTTACAGCTCCTTTTTGGTATACAAGATTTTCTGTACTTAAGTCAAAAAAATGACGGTGAGCTAAATACAAAACTGAGCCAGTTACCTGACTTGCTTCTGCAGGCTTGTCCATTTGGTACTTTATTGAATGCCAACATACAGAATTTGCTAGATAACAGCAACTTTGCTCCTGTGACTCAACCACAAAAACAGCCAGCCTGGAAAGCTGGGACATACAAAGGAAAACCACAAGTCTCCATTTCTATCGCTGAAAAGGTAAAATCCATGCAGTATGACAAACAAGATGTAGCAGATACGTGGCAAGTTGTTGGAGCAGTCACTTGCAAGGTAAGATTTTCTCAGTTATTTGCTTTATTCATACCTTTTAACGCATATGGAGAAAAGTAAGTTTAGTTACGTGTATTATATGTTGCTAAGTGATATTCTGAATTTTTAGCTTGAGCAGCAGCCCTAGAGTTGTAAAATTTCATAATGTCATCTTTTTATCAATTATTTTATAACAGTTGTGTAATGAGTTGTCCCATTACTCTAAAACAAGCATTTATTTCCTCCTACTTTCTCCGGGTCAGAATTTGAGAAGCAGCCTGGCTAGGACCTTCTATTTTTGTCTCATGAGATCAAAATCAAGATTTTGGTTGGGGCTATAGTGATCTCGAAGTTTGACTGGGTCTGGATGATCTGTTAGCAAGATGAGTCAGTCTCGTCGCAGGCATTGTCGGTGCTGGTTGAAGACAGACCAAAATCCTCTTCAACATAGACCTCTCAGCAAGCTGTATGCATATCCTCACTACCTGGTGACCAGCTTTCCAGATTGAATGAGAGAGGTGGAGGAGAGATTGAATCAGAAGCTATTCTTTTTATTACTTAAACGGAAGTTCGCATGACCTTACTCTGCTTCCTTTTTGTTGGAAGCAAGTCACTAATTCTGGGTTCATTCAAGTATTATGCAATTAGGTCCATCTTTTGAAAAGAGTGGTGTCAAAGAAAAAGAAAAGTGTTAGAGATTTTGTGAGCATATTTTAAGATCACCATCCCTATGTTCTATTTTCTCTAGAGAAGTAAAATTTCAAATGGACAAACCCTCTGATACAACATCTAAAATCATTTTTGAAGAGCTTTTGTTTTATTTAAATGAATCAATAGGTTAATATGGGGTTTAAGGTTAGAAAATCTGGGAAAAAAAAACCAGTGGAAAAAGTACAGAAAGCAGTGACGTATGTTGAATGGTGACCAAAAATAAAATCCTCCAAGTAAACATTCTACAAGTGCATATTAATAGTATTCTCAGATGTCTTTATTTTTCTGTCTTTCTTTTCTTTTGTATGCTTTTAATGTAAACTTTTTGTATATCAAATGTGACATTGATTGTCCATATATAAATCCTATGAATAAAAGCAGATTTCAAGAATAGATGATTACAACAATCCTGACAAAATTGGGCCTTTTCTTTTTCTTTTTTTTAATCAGAATTAAAGTGACCTAAAAGTTTTTGTCTGTGTTAAGTTTACTTCTATCATGGTTAAAAATACCTTCCAATTTTATGAAAAAGAAATAATAAACAAATGTAAAGTCATGGATTATGTCATTCATAAGTCTTAAAGTGGTTAATTCTTTTTTCTTATAAGTTTGGTATAATGAAAGGAAAATCACCATTTCTATATATCTCATGGCAAAAAATAGAAAATGTTATATATAATGTAATGCTAAGTAATGTTGTGATATTTAAATATCTCAGTTCATTGATAAGCTAACCATAGTTCTTTGCTAACAGGAATTTTGGATTGATTCCTGTTCTTATTTCTGATAAAGGTTCTCAGGATGGAGAACTTTCTTTAAAAAAAAAAAAAAAAGTAGGATCAAGTATCCCTTAACTTACAAACTAAATGCTTCTTTAAGGTCATATGTAAATAATATGATTACTGCCCAGACATTTTTTAAAGTGCTTCAGGAGTTTAGTATTTAAAGGGATTTTACTATAGAACTGATTTTAAATGGAAATAATTATTTTTATCTAGTAGAAAAACCTGATGAACTGAAAGCCAGTGGACTGAAGTTCTAGTCCTTACTCTGCCACTAATTTTCTGTGTCTTTGGAAAGAACCACACAACTTTTTGAATCCTTTATCATTGTTAAAATGAGATGGGCTTCTAAGTAACTTCTTTTTTTATATTCCTAGTTGTAATGTTCAGCTTACATCTGTTATTTTAAGTGGATAATTCATTCAAGGTTTCCATAATAGTGCTGTTTTTCTGAGTCCTGTAAGAAGGTTAAACTAAACTTCCCTGAGATAATTTAATAGGCATAAACTAAATATTTTTAAATTATAATAGTACTATTAAATTTTGGCTTATTTTGTTCTCCCCATAAATAATGTATAAATAAAACATTTTTTATTCTTACTAGTGCACATACAAAGAGTGAAGTGGTAGGTAGTTTAAAAGTTGAAGCACTAGCATTTTTAAGTTTTTTTCTAAGATTATTTGACATTTTTATTTTCAAATGTGATCCATGTAATTATCACTAAAAGACTTTTATATAGCACTAATCGTACTTGGTCTGTTTATAACACCTGTGGACTCTTTAAGTGCTTACATTGAAGAACTGATACATTAATGAATTCACACGTCTTAAGCAGTAGGACATTTAAAAAGAGAAACATTTCAGATTAATGTTGAGAAAATGGAAGGTCCAGAAGAGAAAAAAGACAAATTCAGCAAACACTGTTTTAGTATCTCCAATGCATTACAGTGTGGTAGGCACTAGAACTGTGAAGAAAAGTAAAACAATTCTTTTCAAAGAATTTCAAGCTTCAAGAGGGAAACATAAGCATAGACATTTACAGGTGACGAACAGTTAACACATGGTGTGGACTGTCTAATGATAGTGCACTTGGAGCTAAGCATCTGGTCTGTTGTGTTCTACTGACCCTTAAAATATTGTTTAGTTCTAGCTAAGCAAAACATCAGTGCACCTTACCCAGCTCAATTTGCCAGTTTGACCCAGCATTTAAAGGGATACATGTTAATTTAGAACTGAGGTACAGAGGATGACCCACAGTACTCACACACATATAAGTAATGCTTATTGGTCTGGTTGGGTCATAAGAGGCCACTATAAGATTTGCTGGAATAAACACGTTAGGACTTAAGCATAAGAGGTGCTGGGGATTTAGTTCAGTGGTTCTGGTACCTGCCTTGCATAAGAGGTGCTGAGGAAACAACAGTAATATTCTGGTTACAGCCCTCAAGAGAGAATCCCTCACAAGTTCATTCCGGAGATTGGAGTAGTTAGGAAATCACAGTTCACAGAGAAGTCTGCATAGCTGCCAGAGCTGCCTGTTACAATCTCAAAGCAGATGATCAAGGAAAGATCTCCAAAAGTAATATAACTAGCATTGTAGCCTTGAGGTAGAAGCTCAAGGAGAGGTCAGAAGCTATTTCACCTGGCTTCCACGGTACCCTAAGAACAAGGGCTTCCCTTTCCCTCCTCCCAAATCTCATGAATATCTCCTGTTGCCACACTAAGTCAAATCGCACGGGGAAGAAGACACCTAGTATCTCTGCATGCCTGAAGCAGGCTCTGAAAGTGACAGTACAGAACCTCAGTCATTGCACAAATCATTAGGTAAGCTGGACATGAAGAACGAATGAATTTATGGGGAAAGGGGGCATTACCGCTAGAGGGAATACCATACAAGTAATGTGTGAGTTATTCAGGGAAATGCAAAACTTCTATGTCTGCAGCACAAGTCACGGAACACAAAATGGTCTGAAGAGGTAGATGGGGGACAGACAAAAGGCTTTAAAAAAATACAAAACTAAAGAACCACTGAAATGGAATAATATAAAAATATAGTCCATTAAAATAGCTCTGGCATTTATGGATAATGGAACGACCGGAGCCTAGACACATCACAGGGCTCACAGAAATTGTAAAGACCTTTACAAACGTACTTTCAGAGGGAATGGAGAGGAGTGAATGGATTGTAAATATTTTCTAAGAAATTTAGAGGTGAGCAGAAGGGTCTGTGAAACCTCTCTGGTCACTGGCTTGGTTGTTTAAAAGCATAAAACTGTTAGAAAGGAAAAACTAGTCTGGAGAGAAATGAGTTGAATTGGGGAGAATGACTAAGACATTGAGAAAAGCCTCAAACAAAGTGTGTATTCTAAGATCTTGGTAATACCCATTTCTGCTTTCAGTGTGATTTGGAGGGAATCATGACAAATGTTACCATTAGCTTGAGCCTCCCCACCAACGGATCACCACTTCAAGATATTCTTGTTCATCCTTGTGTGACTTCTCTTGATTCTGCCATGCTGACTTCCAGTAGCATTGATGCAGTGGATGATTCTGCGTTCAGTGGGCCTTACAAATTTCCATTTACTCCACCTTCAGAGTCGTTCAACTTATGTTACTACACTTCCCAGGTAAACGGTCTTGGAAAAGTTGAGGGTTGGTGACCTTTGTATATGTAAGTGCCATTACAGATACTATGATATATTTATAAACACTGTTCAGAAGGACATCATTTCTATTTTTGGCCCAAATGAGAACTTCTTATGAGTTACTTACCAGACAGTAACTGATGAATGAAGATTCAGTTATCTGCTTGAGCCACCTCTCATCTCTGATACCTTTGACTGCATTAACAGTTTTCAGATTCAGTGTGTTTTTTTTTAATATTCCCTAAGGAGTCTGTGTTCACGGATAGATCCTAGTATAATTTAGTCATGGTTTTAACCATAAAGATGAAGTAACTCTAATTCCAGGAAATCTTAGTTACAAATATAAATTATTAAATAAAAGTGAATTGTAAAAATTCCTCTTCAGACAAACCTACACTTCCTCAGCAGGCCATTCAAAGCTTTTTACCATAATTCCCAGCTTCCTTGGCTCTCTCCCTCCTCCGCCTCTGCACCTCTCTACCTCTCTTCCAGGCAATATTCCGATAGTGTTATATTCTTCAGCTGTGAGGCAGGAGGTGGGGTGCGGAGCAGCCTGTCAGTAATGGAGAACCAGGAAATGACGGAAAACGTTCCCGAAGTCCTGCGGCTGAGACTAATCACATTCTCCAGAGAACTCCGACAGGTGTTTGAGAGGATGGCCTAGACCTGCTGTCAGGCTGAGGAGTGGGAGAGATGCGAACAGCTGCAGACATTCAGCTCTTGGCTGCAGTGTTCCCTTTCGCAGGGTCCTCTGTCACCCAGTAGACTGCACTTCATTTCCTGCTTTTAAATGGAGTGTCCTGGCTCTGCAGAACATTTCTTTTTTTCCCCACCTTCAATAAATGTAAAACCTTGAAAATTAGTAATAACTGTCGTTTATTGAATAGGTGCTGTGTATCAGATGTTATCCTGGGCACTTGGCATATATTTTCTCTGCTACTTTTAACAAACCTTAAGATAAGTATTATTCCCATTTTACAGATGCAGAAGGTGTCAGAGAAGTTCAATGCCTTCACAAGGTCATTTGACTAATAAATAGCAGAGCCTAGATTTGAACCCAGATCTTGCAAACTTACAAAGCCCAGAATGTTTCCCACTGTGCCATTTGTCTCTTGCCCTCGTTTTCAGTCAGTAGATTAGGAGATCCTGTTTAAGTAGAGGGAATTTATTTTGAGAAGGCAACAGGAAATTTCATTTTCATTCGTGAAAAGATGTAGAACCCAGGCCACATTGGTACTAGAGCCAAGAAATTGAAATTCCTCTGTATTCAGGGTTCATACTCTCAGGTCGCTGCTTCTCCGTCTCCTCAGCTGCCTTGCCTGGCTTGTGCATGACCTTACGGCTCTAGAACTTGCACTGTAAGCAGTCTCTGCCTTACTGCAGATGTACCGACAGGAATGATTGGCTAGCCAACCTACAGCTTCCTTCCCTTCAGTCTGTTACTGATGACCAATCAAGTTAGCTGCGTTTGAGCTGGGGAGTTAGGAAAGGAATGGAGGAGTACAGTCACTGGGTACGAAAAGAGCACCCAGAATTCCGCATAGCACAGCAGTGATCAGTGTGTGTCGTGCATGTCCCATACTGCGAGTCAGAGAACTTAGAGGACGAGACTATCATAGAGGAGCAAGAGCACGGACGGGAAGTGTTGTGTACTTTTATAAGGCACCTCTGTCATCTCTGGAAACAGGAGAGAGAAGAATGTCTGCCATTGGAATGAGTTTGGATTCATTATTGCTATTATCAAGACAACCAGGAGGAACTCACTCATCCACAAGGCAGATCTTAATATAGTGATTATAATATGTATATATGTAAATATATACAGTGTAATATATATATTATCTAATGTACATTACTGGGGGACTGTCATTCACCATTGGTATTTTACATGCTGTAACCTAAGAATTATATAAAAATTTATTTATTTTTCAGGTCCCTGTCCCGCCAATTTTGGGTTTTTATCAAATGAAAGAAGAAGAAGTACAACTGAAAATAGCAGTTAATTTAAAACTTCATGAAAGTGTAAAAAATAACTTTGAATTCTGTGAAGCTCATATACCTTTTTATAATAGGTAGGGATAAATAATATGATGCCATGATTTCTACCTTCCCTAGTTTATTACCCCTGCCCTGTAGTAAATTGTCTTTTCTGCCTTATTTTTGAGATCTAAATAATTTTGTGTTACTCAACTGGATGGTGATACTGAACCACAATAATCTGTTTACCTTTAATGTGCTGTCATTTTTCTGGGTGAACTTGATAGTAAATTGTATTGTTAAGCTGGTGTAACTTCCTTGGAGATTATTTTGCTGCAGCTTTATTTTTAGCAGTTTCTCTGGATTCTACGTGTAAGTCAATCCTAGGTATCAGCTGCCTGATGTATTAACCAATTATCATAAGATTGCTTCCCCATCCGTTCTACTTAAATTTTTTGAGCAGCATGGCTCGTTCCAAAGTGTACTTAAATATATAGTAAAATCATAGGTTTACTATTGTGTCAACCTATGTGAATATATGTGACATAAATTGGCTTTAGGAATAAAAACAAAACATGTGTCATGACTGTAAATGTTTATGTAGTTTTTGGTATTTTGTGAGGTATATCTTCCTTGTTATGTTCTATTCTGCAAATAATACGAATCTGGTTGTGTGTGTGTGTGTGTGTGTGTGTGTGTCTGTGTGTGTGTGTGTTGGGTTTTGTTTGTTTAGTACCAGGGATCAAACTCAGGACCTTGTTCTTGTGAGGCAGGCATGGCGACACTAAGCTAAATACGAATCTGTTTTTATGTTGTCATTTTATTAAGTAACATAAGCAAGATTTGACTTACATCTTTTAATACTATACATCTCTGATCATTGCTTTTCTGTTTTATTCTTTTCTTTTTAAAAGAGGTCCAATTACACATTTGGAATACAAAGTTAGTTTTGGCCAGCTTGAGGTATTTCGAGAGAAAGGATTATTGGTCTGGATTATTGGTGAGCAAGGTTTTGTTTATTTTTTTTCTTTTCTTTGGTGTTGAGTCTACTCTACTTAGAATAGTTGATTGGTGTATTTGTGTTTCTAGGCCAAAAGTTTCCAAAATCCATGGAGATTAGTCTTTCTGGAACTGTAACTTTTGGAGCCAAGAGCCATGACAAGCAGCCATTTGACCAGATTTGTATTGGAGGCACAGCATATGTAAAGGTAAACATACTTATTTGACTTACTACATTAAAACCCTTTTTTTGGTTGTTGTTTCTAGGTTACGCATATCTAGTAGAGTTTTAATGTTTTCTAACAATTTTTTTTTAATTCTCTGCATTTTATCTGGCTAAATCCTTCTTTGGGGTTTTGTTTAATTCTTTTTTAATATTACCCGTTTTCTATTTCACTTAATACTTCAATTTTAAATCTTTAAGTATAAGCGTAACATCCAATTTTTTTTCTTTCAGTATTTTTTATTAATATATATTTCCAATATATAAGGATTGCATTCCCAATGGGGAGTTTGTGTGTATTCAGGACACATCTTAATTCTTTTTCAAACCCTTCTCCATACCACTTCCCTATTCTTTCATCTCTTAATCCCTTTCTCATATGAGAAAATATTTATCTCCCTGCTTCTTACTCTCTTTTATTTTGTGCTTTATTTATATTTTGAGGTTGTCATATAAGAGAAACCATGCAATATTGAAGCTTGTGTAGTTTATTTCATTTTAAAGTTATTGTCTGAAGGTGCATCCATTTTCCTACAGATGGCTCAAGCTCATCTTTCTTCGTGACAGAGTAGTACTCCATTGTGTATAAATACTACCACGTTTTCTTTATCCATTCATCTGTTGATGAGCATATGGGCTGCTTCCAAGATTTAGCTATTATGAATTGTGCTGCTATAAACGTGGGTGTGCATGTATCACTGTCACATGATGGCTTGAACTCTGTTGGAA